CTCTCTATCAAACAAATAAATAAAATCTTTAAAAAAAAAAAAAAATAAATCTTTGAAAAATATATATGTATATTTGTTAGTCTATTTTTCTAGGAATAAATCAAAAAACTTGAATCCCTGACAGATACAGCCATCTGACAGATTTTTTTTTTTTAACTCCTTGCCTCATTTCTTGGTTGCCCCAATTTTAATCAAAACTGGGTTTCCTGGAATGAGTAGACTAAAGTTAAAGGAAATATTTTGGTCACTGTTCTTATGAAATCCTTTGTGGTTTGGAAGCGGTGCTCCTTTAGTGTTTCAACAGCTTCATTCATGTTCCGCATGCAGTGTAGCAGTATGATACCAGTAGCTGAGCTTCAGAAGAAGTTCAAATGCAGAACCTCTAAATTTAGAGATTGAACAATAAAACCTTTAGGAGGGAAGTCAGAGTAGCTTTCTTAACTTTCTGATAAAAGTAATCGGCACTAGTTATAACCCATTTAGTACTACAAATTTTCTTGGCAAGTACCTTCATAGCTCAGAAAAGATTCTCTTGATTATTTTGTATATAAGAAGCTGCGTTGCTCTCAAAGTTTGCTCATTTTTTAAAGAGAACTTCTGATGTGTTTTAAGTAATTGACACTGTCAGGAGAATATATAGTCTTACCAGTAACCAAACATCTAAGTTAAAAATAATGAGTTATGGGTATCATCAACTTTTTCCAATATTGAAATTGTTTCCAGTACTGAAATACTTAAAAAGTGAATTGTTCTCTGGACACTTTTTTGCTGCTAATTAACATTTCTTTTTACAGGATTCATGAATAAAATTTTCCATCCCAACATTGATGAAGCGTAAGTAACTATTTAAAAATGTTAAATCTTAGCAGCAACTGCTCTTATTAGCGTTCATCTCTCTCTCTCTCCATTATTAAAAAAAGTCTCAATTATCTTTTTGGATTTTATCAACAGAGAGGACTGTATGGTCACTTAAACTGGAGTTCCAGGGTTATTGATACTCTAAACCACTTAGTGCAAACCCTGCTGTTGGGTTGCTTAGTTTTTCCACTGTCGTGAGTGGGTCCTTCATTTCCTGCGATACCTAGCTAGGATTTGTAATATTCCACATCTCCGTTCTCTTCGTATGGACACAATTCAGAGACCAGTTTTCTGTATACCGAATTACTATTTTCAGCCCTTAAAGTGTTTCTTAGTTCTTGAGAGTAAAGCAAACATGAATGGCTGTAGTTTTATTTCAGTTAATGAATCTACCCTTTCTTTCCTTCTAATATTTTATTAGTGATACTTTAAGATTTGCCTCCTATCACATACTTCCGATGCTGTTTGCAATACATGATTTTTTTCTGCGGTTTTTCCTTGTCACGGCACTAAATTCTACTGTTACACACATACACATGAGGTATTCTGAATTCTTTGAGTGGGTTGTACACACATATCATGCCCCGTTGTCCTTTTATACTTCTGTGTATCAGTCATCCTAACAACAAGGATGTTTTGTTACGTAACCACAGTATAGTCTGATTCAGGAACTGAGTATCAATACAGTACTTTTTAGTCTACTGCCACATTACAGCAGTGTACCTTTTTGGCACTTTTTCCCCCCCTCAGTGAAGGATCAGCCCAGGACCATGTATTGCATTTACTTGTCACGTTTCTTTAAACTACTTTAATCTGGAATAGTTCCTCAGCTTTTTTAACGTTGACATTTTTAAAAGAATATGGATCAGTTATTTTAAAGACCGTCCCTCAGTTGGGGTTGTCTGGTGTTTCCTCATTAGATCCAGAGGATGCACTTCAGGCCAGAAAACCACAAAGTGTGATTGTGCCCTCGGGGTCCTGGGGAGACACACAGGTGTGTGTCTCTCTCCTCCCAAACCCCCCCCCCCCCCCCAGTCAGTGTGAATTCTCATGAAGGTGTTGTCTGGTCTCTCCATTGTGTAGTTGTGGGTTTTTCCTTTCACTCTCTTAAGGAGACACTAACACTGTAAATATTCTGCTCATACTTTTCCTTCCCTAATTGGGATTCTTTTTCCTTACCTTTCTTTTCCTTTTTCCTTTTCCTTTTTCTTTCTTTCTTTCTCTTTCTTTCTTTCTTTTCTTTCTTTCTTATGATCTGTTAAAGATACTTTTCTTGATAAAATTAGTTGCCAGATACATGCGACTAGATTTCTTAATTTTTTAAAAAATGCCATTCTTTCCATCTGTTTCAGGTCAGGAACTGTGTGTCTAGATGTAATTAATCAAACTTGGACAGCTCTCTATGGTGAGTTTGGCCATGGAATATTTTTTAGAGATGTTGAGACACTGCCTAAAAAATGTTGTTTGGCTTTTCTTCTCTGGTTTAAGGTTTTTTGTTGGGAATGGGAAGGGATGATGAGGGCCTGGATGGGAAAGTTTGATCAGTGAAAAAAGTATTTTCTCTCAAGTACAAACTTTGATTTAGCGGTGGAAGTTTAAAATAATTTTGTGAGATTCTGAACTTAAGGTATAGTGATGTACAATACACATGTAAACATTGTATATGTGTATGTATTCAGAAGCACACTATATACCTGCTTACTTGTAATAACTTTGAATTTTGGAAAAACTCCTAGGAATGTCCCTGTGAAATGAGATGGTGTATTAAGAGGTTTGGGGAGTCTTCTGCTTTTGAAGCCCAAAGAATAATTCAGCCTTGTCTCAGTGCTGAAATCAACATCTCCTCTCTCATGATGAATCACAATACATCATGATACAATGCTAAGAATCACAGAGAAATGTAAGGAATATCAGGCCTTCTCTCCCTGAGCTTGTAACTTGGTTGGGGAGCTAAAAATATTTTGAGATATACTTAATTAGGGATACAACAAACCAGTCTGTATTCCCCCACATGTCCAAGTTCTCAGGCATCACTGACTCTGCTCTCATGCCCCCACCCCATGAGGCTTCCCCTGATGCTCCAGCTGCAAGCGATCTCCACACACTCCTACATTTTATTTCCCTTTTTTGTGGCCCACTTTTACTTTGTACCTGTGTGTGTGGTTCATGCCTACCTTTTTGTGCCACTAGATGATTTCCTGCCTTAGAGGTCACTGGGGTGCATGTCTCTATGTCCCAGCACTTCCTTATACAGCACCTTGTACCCATGTGTGGTGAAAGAATGGGAGGTGCACATAATAAACGGCTGCCAAGAGGTCCAAGAAGATCACTTCAGGCGGGGCTTAACCAGAGGTGACCTTTCTTACTGAACAATTGTGAAAAGTCTTATTCCAGCCATAATCTGCAAGCCACCTTGCCAGACATGCCTGTACTAGGTGTAGGAGACTCACGGAGGAATGCTGGTCACCAGCAGTGCACAGTTAATCCTTTTTTTGTTCTGTTTTTTTCCTCCTGATTCTCCCATTCAAAAATTATTTCCTCCGCCTGGAGTTACCTTCCTTGGTCTTTGTATGGCTGGGCACCTTCTTTTCTCACCTCAGACATCTGTCAAAGAAGCCTCCTTTCCTAGATCCTCCATGTAAACCAACATTCCTCCACAGCATAGCACCCTGTTTGAAAAACAACATGTATTGTTTATCTTGTCTTACTAGATTGTAAGCTCCACCGGAGCAGGGAGTGTGTGTGTGTGTGTGTGTGTGTGTACACGTAGACAGGTAATGACTGAATTAATGATGCCTAGTATTGTTAAACATGAGAATTTTAGGGATATGACAGCTTATAAGGAGATGAGGCAACGAGAAAGAACATATACTCTGAGGTTGGTTAAATGGATTCCTTTTAAGATTTTTTTTGGTAAAAATGTCTCATGGCAGGCTGCCTGGAATAGCTGATGTAATGATGTATTTTCTTAAACTGCATTCACATTTTAGAAATGTACATAACAAAATACTGTGAGCTGGTTCCAGTTACAGTAAAGTAAATTGGACTTCAACTAATTCTTTTACTGTTGACCAGGAAAGCTTTGTGGAAGAGATTTTTGCTGATTCTCAAGTACTTCACATCTCAGAAACAGATTTTTAAAAATAACAGCTTATTGAATTATAATTCATATACATTAAATTCACCTATTTAAAGCATGTAATTTGATGGCTTTTAAAAGCAAACTCAGTTGTGTACAGCTATTACCACATTTTCATCATAGAAGATTTTCTTCACCTTAAAAAAGATCCCTTAGCTATCACCTCCTCATCCCCAACCCTAGGCAATGACTGATCTACTTTTTGTCTCTATAGATTTGCCTATTCTGGAATTTTTCATGATGGAATATATAATATGTGGTCTATTGTGACTGGTTTTTTTCAGTTCCCGTCATGTTTTCAAGATTCATCACGTTGTAGCATGAATCAGTACTTCATACCTTGTATGGCCAGATAATTTTACAGCTATCACATTTTTATCCATTTGTCAGTTGATGAACAGTTGGGTTGTTTCTACCTTTTGGCTGTTTTGAATAGTTTCTATGTGGACGTACGTTTTCATTTCTCTTGGGTGTCTACCTAGGGGTAGAATTGCTGGGTGACATGGTAACTCTCTGGTCAACCATTTGAGGAACTGACAGACTGTTTTCCAAAGTGGTTGTACCATTTTACTTTCCTACCAGCTGGTATATGAGGTTCAGAACAGACTTGAAGGCAGAAGCCCACATAACTTAAGATTTCTTAATTTTTTATTTATTTTTATTTTTTAAAAAGATTTTATTTGACAGAGACACACACAGCGAGAGAGGTAACAACAAGCAGGGGGAGTGGGAGAGGGAGAAGCAGGTTGCCCGCTGCGCAGGGAGCCCGATGCGGGGCTCGATCCCAGGACCCTGGGATCGTGACCTCAGCCGAAGGCAGACGCTTAATGACTGAGCCACCCAGGTGCCCCGACTTAAGATTTCTTAAGATTTCATCACATCTAGGAGCACCTGCGTGGCTCAGTCATTAAGCCTTCGGCTCAGGTCATGATCCTGGGGTCCTGGGATCGAGCCCCACATCGGGCTCCCTGCTCAGCGGGAAGCCTGCTTCTCCCTCTTCCACTCCCCCTGCTTCTGTTCCCTCTCTCATTGTCTCTCTCTCTCTCGGTCAAATAAATAAAAAATCTAAAAGATTCGTCAAATCAATAAAATGTTAGGAAAGCATTGCTTTGTAAAGCACTTAGTAACAAGGATTAAATCACATTGGTCAAAGTGAACTTTTATTTCCCTATTACATGTGTAGGAGTTACCATTCAGTGTTCTGTAATATGTAAACATGGACAACACTAACATTGTAGGTAAGTGCAGGAACCCAAGGAGTATTTTGAGAGTGTAGTCAAAATATACTCATGGGCCACCTGGGTGGCTCAGTCAGTTAAACGGCTGACTGTTGATCTCAGGGTCGTGAGTTCAAGCCCTATATCACGCTGAGTGTGGAGCCTACTTAAAATATACTCAACATGGGAGAGCTGTTTTTGACATTTTGCTCAAACCCAAACTCTACTACTGAAGAAAATTCATTTTTTTCATGGAAAGTTTTAGAACAGGTAATTGATACAAAAAGTACACAGAAATGGTTGGTACAGATGACCTTGAAGTTTGTTTTTAATATTTTTATTTATTTGAGAGAGAGAGAGAACAGAGGGAGAGTAGGAGGGAGAAGCAGACTCCCGTGGAGCAAGCAGGGAGCCCGATGTGGGACTCGATCCCAGGACCCTGCGATCATGACCTGAGCCCAAAGGCAGCCTCTCAACAGATTGAGCCACCCAGGTGCCCCTGACATTGAAGTTTCTTTTGGACTTCCCTGATCCTGAGATCAAAACTGAATTTTTATTGCAAACTAGCCTCTGGCATTGAAGGTTAATCTATAATTGGTGAATTTATTGGAGTCATTCAGTTTCCTGCTGTGATTCTGAGAGAATCTTAGTTCAGAGGACAAAAAACCTAATTTAATATAAAACAACTAATAGGAGAAAGTTGACGTGTTAACACAAATACTCAACTGAAAACCAAAAGGCTTAGCCTGACAACCAAAACTTGTTTCAACACCTCTACTATATAATATACTAAGGAGCAGGGAGTTACTTGTGAAATTTCCTGCAATTAACTTTGCTCCAAGGCATGTACTTTGCAGTGGATATACATAGTTTTAGTATAGCAGCAATTCCCAGTTGAAACTTCAGATTTATACTTATCATAACCTGCTATTAATCAGTGTTCCCGTTTGTAGCAGCTTTAGTCCTCTAGTCCCCCTGACTCATTGCTTCTATTCTCATTTTGTTTTCCTTTGCCAAGTGTCCATGTAGTTTGTTCATTCAGAAACAGAATTGGTATGATTGTAGTGTAGTCACCCAGTAATTTTCAATTTTATATTATTTAACCTTGCAAGAGAGCTAATTATAATGGGTAATATGGTTAGTTTTATAAAGATGCTTGTCATATGAAATTGAGTATGAAGTTTGTTACTCTTGTGACATTAAAAGGAAAGTAGCAGATGCCATCTCGAAATTGATTTATTTTCATTTCCTGTATGATAGCATCTTTTTCTTTCTTTTCTCTTTTCTTCTCTTTTCTTTTCTTTCTTTTTTTAGCATCCCTTCCTGCTCTTCCCAGACAGCAATGATAAAAGCTCTGGAAAACTTAAAATGCAGCCAAGGGGATTAGTTTCAGAAACAACTGTAATTTTAAAGATTGATGGAAGGAAAGTTCTTTAATCCACAGGTAGCTTTTTAAGCACCCTTACTATTTTCCAGTTTCCCTTTTTACTTCCACATGTATTTTATCCACACTTGGCCTCTCTCCCTGCCCTCCTGGAAGCTCTGGTACTTCCACTGCAGTACAGCTTTCGTTTCTCTCCCACCCTTCCGGGCCATGTGCATCCTTGACCTTGACCCTATAAATTGTGTTTTTTTCCAATTTAATTTTACTCATTTTTCAACTGACTTGGTAGATCACTTATTTTGTGAATTAAGTTGACAAGTAAGGTTGAAAACAATTTTCTTATAAAATTGGGCAGTTTACAATTTAATTCTTTCTCACCTTTAGAGGGTTGCTAGCCAGTGGACTGGATACTCCTCTTATTTTGCTGGTGAGAAAAATCAACATTTGGGAAATTGCTTCCCCTAGAATGAAGTTGACTACAACAAAAGGAATGCTTCAGGGACTTGGACATTAAAATTAGAGAGGAGAAACAAATTTTCTTTTACTAGGCATTTAGAAAAATTTTAAACCATAAATTTATTTAATAGTACTATATTGTGGGCCTAGTGAATTTAAGCTTTCTCATGTTGGAAATATTTACTCCATCCTTCTTTTCAGTTAGGTAGCCTGTGAATCTTTCCAAACAATTAAAATTCTGGCTGAAGGTAACCCTGTCTTAAAATAACGCTCTGTGTTCCCCTAGTGTTTGCTAACTATATTCCTAGCCATTTTAGTGTAGTTACACAGACAAGAGCTACATGTATCTGTCTGCATGGATGATTGATCAGCCAACAACAACCGTCTGAGAACAGGCTTGAGAATTCAGTATCGATCCGTGCATGTTGGAATCATAAACATCATCCTGCCTTTGGAACAGCTGGATGTCATTATGAGTCTCCTGGACAGAGGCCAGGTGGAGCAGTTTCTCTTCAGCACTAGGGGGAAATGTCAGCTGTAGGAAATAAAGATAACATGCTGAGTTTGGGATTTGGTGGCTTCCACAATATTTAGCTAGCTCCATGGTCCACCTCCTCTGTCCATCGGCTTGGAGATACGCACATGTGGTGTTGGTATGTGGCCCAAGGGTTTAATTAACTGTACACAGAAAAACAGGGTCGTCTTAGGTTAAACAACTTAATGGAAACTCATTAGAAACACCACATTCATGTTCACTGATGGTCAGCATGAGGATCACAGAGCGGTCCGGGCTTTGTGGACGGTGGGATGTGAGCCAGGCTGTGGCCTGGAAAGACAGCCACAGCTGTGTTCTACCTTCTTTGCGCTGTAGTCTCAGGGCTCAGTCGTGAGGGTGTGGATGTGTTTTTCTCTTCACTTGCTTGTGATCACTGTGTATAGGCGAAGTCTGCCAGGTGTGGCCACTTACTTGTAATTGCATGAAGTATCTTTTCTAATGTTAAAGACAAACTAAATTATTGTCTAGTAATTAAAACTTTAGAGTACCAGCTAGCTCATTGTACATTAACTGCCCTTATTTATGGAAAGTTAATAACAAATCCTATTCCTGTGTTTTAGCTTGCAGTCTTTGGAGGTAAGCAGGGTCATACCAGGTCTGAATTAGGATGAACGGCCTCTAAAGAGCATCTGAGTGAGGCAGGGGTGTGTGAGACCAGCAAGGCAACAAGGAAATGGCTTTGGGGGGAACAGGAGCCTGTTTTCTTCCTTCTCATCTCTGTGCAGCATTCATTCTGCTCTGCAGACCTCTACAGGTGAAGTACTTCAGGGGAGGGAGCTGCAGTGCATGGGAGAAGATTTTCTAAGTCTGGCGGAGTGCTTTAACGTGTTCTGTAACTACACACCTCTGGTTGGTGGCCTGGCACTTAGCGGAATGGATCTGGTATTCCTCCAGGTTTTAGTGCCCTATGTCTTTGACCTTGCCCTTTCTGACATAGAACAAAAATGCCTGACCTTGGAATACTTAAAAATTGTAATGCTACCTCTAGTGAGATTTAAGTCTATCAGTCATATTGTAAAAATTCTTTGAGTGTTTACTAATTCTTATTAATTCCTACTAATTGCACTCCATTTTTTTTTTTTGAAAGGTGTGAGGAGGGAGTTGTGTTTGTTTTTTGCTTGCATGACCCTCTTCATAAGATCTTACTCTGTCTTTTAAAAGATACCCATAGGGATGCCTGGGTGTCTCAGTCAATTAAGCATTTGACTCTTCATCTCGGCTCAGGTCTTGATTCAGCGTTGTGAGTTCAAGCCCCACGTTGGGCTCCACACTGGGCATGGAGCCTCTCATGGACTAACCTGAGAACATTTATGAATCTGATGAATTCAGACTTCTTATATATTTTATCCACACAGAAACAAAGAAGACCCTCTCAGTTAAGCAATTGGATACATTCTTGAATTTATCCTCCAGCAGATTGGTGGCTTGATATATTATTCCATTAGCAGCGTGTCAGCCTTCAGTAAACTAAATATGGCGTGGCTAGCCTTATGGCTAGCTGGTTCTGTGCCATAGGACCACAGGAAGTCTTTGTGGGGGTCTGCTATGGGATTAGGCTTTCCTCATTGAAGTTGGATTCCAGTTAGTTATTTTAGAGAATGTTATTTTTAAATTTCAAAGCCATTTCTTCTTGCAAGTCCACCTACCTATATGAGGGCATTCCTCCTGACCAGCTCTTTTGAAGTTTTCCTCAAGATGTCTGTCACCTTTTAGGGCCCCTGCTTACCAAGTCCTTCACACAGAACAACTGCTTGGTCACATGAAATGCCATTCCTCAGGTTGAAGAAATAAAGGTTTCTGACTCCTCCTCGTTTGTGAGGGTAGAATTTCACTTTTTTTAGTGTTCACAGACTGTAAACAGGAGAAATTGAAAAATCCATTATTAATATTCCAACTTCTGAGGAGCTAGTAGAAGAGTGGAAAAGTAAACATCTGTTAGTTAACCGAAATTATTAACTGAAGGAAATCTGGAAATTTATTTGCTGTTTCAATCTTACAAAAATTAGACTACATGTATATTCACATGTATTTTTTAATACATCTAATAGATACCTCCTCCCCCACCTAAAAAGAAAAAAAAAGTTGAATGAATGAAATGGAATTTTATGGTTGGTTTTATTTTGAATACATATTGTAAGTGTATGACTGCATTTCATGATGGATTAATTACAATTGCTTGTAAGATGAGCAAAAGTCAATTAGTGGGGTTTTGAAAGGTCAGCAGCTGATTTTTCTCTGCTAAATCAAGGATATGAATAACATGGTTGAAATTCTCAAGTGATCCCAACTATTTAGCCATTAGCTTCAACCATAATGTCCGGAAAGTCCACAGAGAAGATCTGTGTAAGTCCTAGCGAATCATTAGGTCTAGACCACTAGAATCAAAAATTTGTGATTTTTTTTTTTTCTCTTTTTACCTAATTATGAGTAGGACTTTTATTTTCTTCCTCTCAGCCCTGCTCCCTGTTGAATTATGGAACAGGTAAATACCTTGAGTTGTGGCTTGCACAGTGAATCTTGACTTGAGAAGCCAGGGGTCCTCCCTCATAGGGGAGGGGGCCAGTGAACTCATAAGTTTGTTTGGATAGCATGCTTCTGGAATATGAAGAGTTTTTGGTTTTTTTTTTAAAGATTTTATTTATTTATTTGACAGAGAGAGACACAGCGAGAGAGAGAACACAAGCAGGGGGAGTGGGAGAGGGAGAAGCAGGCCTCCCGCCAAGCAGGGAGCCCGATGTGGGGCTCGATCCCAGGACCCTGGGATAGACCTGAGCCGAAGGCAGACGCTCAACGACTGAGCCACCCAGGCGCCCCGGAATATGAAGAGTTTTGAAGGAAAACAAGAGGAACTTGCTCTTGATGGGAAATGACCTGAGCAGTTGTTTTAAGGAAGCTTTCTCTGATTGCAGAGGCAAGAGTGTGGAGCCTGGAAGGCCAGGCCCTGATCTGAGGTGGAATGGTACGTTGGGCTTGGTGTAGTTACATGCCAGGGAAAACAGAAAAGGAACTAGAGAGATTTTGTTAGGACAAGTGAGTCTGGGGGCGCCTGAGTGGCTCAGTCAGTTAGGCGGCTGCCTTCGGCTCAGGTCATGGTCCCAGGGTCCTGGGATCAAGTCCCTCGTCGGCCTCCTGCTCAGCGGGAGTCTGCTTCTCCCTCTCCCTCTGCTCCTCTCCCAACTTGTGCTCTCTCTCTCTGTCAAATAAATAAAATCTTTAAAAAACAAACAAAAGAAAACCGAGTAGTGAGTCTGGAAAACCAACTGAGTACATGGAATAAAGGAGAAAGCCTAATCAAAGTCCTTCCAGAGCTTTGGAGCCTAGGGACAAGGGTGTTGGAGTCTACCTAGATATTAGGAGAAAAGATTAGGTTTTCAGGGAAATAATTTTAGATATGTCAAATTCAATAAGACAAGAAATACAAAGGACCAATTAGAAAGATTTGGTAGTTATCAACATAGACTTTCTTCTTTAAAATTGTAAATGAGTTTCCCAGAGTAAGAGTATATGAAGCTCCTGCTTCCATTATGAACACCACAGAATTCACACTGCTGTGCAGGTGAATGTCTTGCCAAGCAAGTTTTTCTGTTTGTTTGGCTTTAAAAGGAAGGAACCCAGGGCATTGGGGCATCTGGGGGAGTGGGATAGGTGGCCTTTGAGGAGAGGGGCAGTGGCTTTGATGACTCAGCCCCTAGCCATGACTGTACTGTGTGATGGTTTCTAAGTTACAGCATTTTGGGTGTTAAATCTGAAAAACAGATAAATATTATGCAAGGTAAAGTCTCTGGGGTGACTGCCCGCCTGGTAATTATAGTTCCTGGTAGGACAGGCCACGTCAAGCTCTGGGCATCCATAGGGCTTTAACCTGAAGGTAACAGCATGCTTTACCAAAATCCCACTTAAACGTTCACAGGAAATAGAGGAAGAAGAAATAACTTATGGTCAGTGGTTTATAAACCGCCAAGAATAAACCATGATCTGTGATTCATCCCCTCCTGTGTTTTTTCCTTTAAGCCATGTACCATCTTTTTGTGAGTCACCTGGAGTAGGGTGGCTTTACTTAAGAATTGGTGCTTTTTTTTTTTTCAGTGTGACTCATTTTAATTAACATGTATTCTTTGAGGTATACAGGTAGCTGAAATTTCTACTCTTAAGAAGGTGGCATATTGTGTTTTTGAATATTTGAGTCTAGTCCTTTGATGCCATATGAAGCCTATTTTATAGTCCTTTTTAGTAATGTGTAAATTCTTCCTTGTAAGGAACTGCAGTATTATACTTCTCTTTTTTGCAGATGAAGAAATTGAGATGCAGAGAGGAAGAGACCTGCCCAAGGTCAAAGAGCAAGTCAGTGGAAGGCCTGAGATTAGACTTGCGGTCTTCTAGGTTTCCCATCTGTTGTTTACCACTTTTGCTGGAAACAGTTCAGTCTAATGGAATTTGCTCTGCCCGATGTCTACAGTGTGTTAGGTGATATCTCTCACTGCTTCCTACACTCTAAAGCAGCCCAATAATGCCCCTTGAAAATGGATCCACATTCTCCTACCTTTAGTTTGCAATACCTCCACCTGGAGGAAGTGAGGGTGACAGCAGAGTGCAGGAAGGCACGCGGAAGGGCTCGGGGAGTGGCTCCACTACACGCTCCGGGCAGCTTAGTTGAGAGTCCTGAGCATTTTCAGAGAACCCGCAGGCAAATAGCCCTCTTCCCGTTTGTCCTGGGGGTAGAGTAGGGAGCATTTCCTGGCTGTGCAGTTCTACACACACGGATGCCAGCCTGTCCTAAGCCAGAGGCCATGGGGTAGGTAATGAGGCCTGAGCATGCAAGTTTTGAAAAAACTCCACAGGTAATTCTGATAGACAAACAGCGAGGATCTAAACTTACTAGGAACCATTACTCTGGACTGAAGGGGGTAAATGGTGCTGCTTTTGATGAGAGATCAGTATGATTTGAGTGTTTTTAAAAATTAAATATGAATATAAATTATTAGTTGAAGTGCCTAAACTGAGGAATGAGTGTTGTAATATTGTTAATATTAATATTGTAAGATCAGGCTGAAGAATCAGGCTTAATGGACTGCATTTTTGTAAGTGCTGATTTAGTCCAAAGCAAAAAGTAAGAGCTGTTTGCTCATCATAAACCAGACTTCGCAGGGATCTTTGGACTTCCTTTAAAAACTAAGGCAGCCAGTAATGGAACCAGCTGACTATAATCTCGAGATTGGGTTATTCTGTGTGTCTGGTTCTCTCCCTTTCAAAAAGTGGAAGATTAATATTTTTTAAAAGACTTTTGAACTGAGAGATGTTGGTATTTTATTACTATTATTAATAATTCTAGGGGAAATTATACCATTTTATGATGGATTTTTCCAAAGGCGAGTATCTTTATTTCACTTCCGGTTTACAGTTTAGGTTTCTTCTTCTTTTTTTTTTGTTTATTTATTTGAGAGAGTGTGGGAGCACGAGCAGGGGAAGGGGCACAGGGAGAGGGAGAAGCAGACTCCCTGCTGAGCAGGGAGCCCAACATGGGGCTCTGATCCCAGGACCCTGAGATCATGACTTGAGCCGAAGGCAGATAGATGCTTAACTGAATGAGCCACCCAGGTGCCCAGTTTAAGTTTCTTCTGTCAACATTTATCTTGAAAGAAGATTTTTATCTGCAAATTTTTTTTTAAAGCATTTTTTTTTTAAGATTTTATTTGACAGAAAGCAGATAGAGCAGGAACACAAGCAGGGGGAGTGGGAGAGGGAGAAGCAGGCTTCCTGCTGAGCAGGGAGCCCGATGCGGGGCTCGATCCCAGGATCCTCGGATCATGACCTGAGCTGAAGGTGGACGCTTAACGACTGAGCCACCCAGGCGCCCCTTATCTGCAACTTTTGAGAGATGTTTCCTTGGAGAGGACCCTCTCAGTAGTAATCACTCTGTTAGCCACTCTCAGGGCTGTAAGTTAACTGCTTTACAGATGGCCATAGCAGGGGTACCTGGCTGGCTCAGTTAAGCGTCTGCTTTCTGCTCGGGTCATGATCTCTCAGGGTCCTGGGATCAAGCCCCACGTTGGGCTCCCTGCTCGGCGGGACGTCTGCCTCTCCCTCCCCCACCCCCCCGCTCGTTCTGTCTCTCGTTCAAATAAATAAAATCTAAAAATAAAAAATAAAATAAAATGGCCATAGCCACGACATCCTGGTCTTCAAATGCTACCTTCTTTGCCCAGAACTGGGCTGTGTACTTTTCCTTTACTGCTATTCTGTTTTACAGGTGTGACTCAGCACATCCATAACATGGATCAGAAGAGAGACATAGGAAGGTAGAACAAATTATTAAGGGTTCTTTTACTTGTTGGGAACAAATACCTAGACAGAGCCACTTATTGGCAGCTTAAAAACTTAAAAGTAGTGAGGAAAGGGTATAAAAATCCCTCCTTGGAACACAGAAAACACCTACTTATAAAACACCTTGTCTGCCATATTTTTCAGGTCCTAAAGCACTTCTTCACATTACTTAAAGAGACTAAAACCTATACTTTGCGTGTGTGTGTGTGTTTTAAAGGTTTTTGTTGTTGCTTGATAGGAATATTCCTCTGCTAATGTTTTTGAGTAGCACCTGGAATGCTGAAACGACAGGAGAACTCCCAGGTCACTACGTGTGGGTATCCGTGAACAGCCATGGGCTACTTTTCTGTGGTTTAGCTACTTGAAAGCAACACATGGCCTCTGCGAAGTATCAGACAGTTGAGCCACAGAAATCCCTTAACATTCTCTGCTTAGAGATCATTCTGTTGGCCTTAAACTTGTGAGAAAGGAAGACTTTCCGGGGGGGGCGGGTGGCCATCTCTGAGGATATGCAGTTTCAATGCCAAGATGTAAGTAGCTTGTGCCTTCATGAAAATTTAGACAGTGCTCATTTCATCTGTTGACAGAGGCAGCATTATGGATAAGCCCAGGATTGAAACCCAGCTCCTTGGACGAGTTACCTAACCTCTCTGTGCCTCAGTTTCCCCCATATGCCAAATGGAGATGGTAATGGTACCTAGCTCATTGGTAATGGTACCTCGCTCGTTGGCTGTAGTGAAACTGAGTGTACATGTAAAGTGCTTACAGGGGCCTGGCTTGTAGCGAGGGCTTTGTAAGTGCACACTGTCGCTTCTGCCATTCCTGTTGCTATAATTATTAGTGTTAATTCTTGTTAACTCTTCTCTGCTCCCAGATCATGTTGAGTTTGTAAAACTTCCACATCCTTGTTTTTTTTCTTCTGAATTTATTTACCTTGATTTTTTTAGACTTATGTTTTATGTAAATATTTCAAACATGCGAAACTAGAAAGGACATATTCATAGGAAAATGCTATTTTTAAAGGTAAAAAAAAGCAAAAGTGTCCCTTGATGTGTGAAAAGTAGAAATCGCAAGCATATTACCTTGAGATATATGGATCATCTTATGTGCATGTACTGTACATAGTAATTACCATTTTGTAGACTTTATCCCCCAGCCTTAGAGTATAAGTATTTTTTTAACTATTCTTTAGCCTTTGAGTAGTTTTAAGTGGTTTTGGACCATGAAAAATTACTGGTTTGTTGAATATGTTGCTTCCTTCCTGGGATCGAGCCCTGCATCGGGCTCTCTGCTCGGCGGGAAGCCTGCTTCTCCCTCTCCCACTCCCCCTGCTTGTGTTCCCTCTCTCGCTGTCTGTCAAATAAATGAATAAAATCTTTAAAAAAAAAAAAATTGTAAGCAAAACGGCAGTGAAAATCTTACAACGTGATTGGGGTTATCTTGGAAGATTATTTTTGTTTTGCTTTTTTGATTAGGAATCTTTGCATTTATTTCCTGGTACATGGGAATCTTACTATAACATGGTTCTTTGGGAAGTTAGCCTTACAAAGGTGAAATGGCTCCTGTCCATGTAATACCACCAAGTCTCCATTACTTGGGGCTCAAGGTGGACCTGCTTTGCGTCAAGACCTGGTGCGTGGGAACAGGACTGAGCCGGCTGTCGTGTGATTCTCCGTGACATTACTGGCTAGACCTGAGCTGTCTAATATGAGATCTAGCCATGTGTCCTTATTTAAATGTAAATTAGAATTAAATAAAACAAAAAATTTCAGTTCTTCAGTCACACCAGCCCTCATGTGTCTGTCCATAGCCACATGTGGCCAGCAGCTACCATACTGGACAGTGCAGATACAGAACATTTTCATCATGCAGAAAGTTCTGTTAAACAGTGCAGCTCTGGCTTACTCTCCTGCTGCTCACCCCGACCATTAAGGAAGCCTTACACTGACAGGGAAGAGCTGACGGTTCCTCATGGGGGTTTCCAAAGCAGAGGGTGACATAGTTTGCCTGGTTTTGTATATAAGGTTTGATTGGAACACAGCCACACTCATTTGTTTACCCATTCTCTGTGAGTGCTTCTGTGCTAGGTGGCGGAGCTAAGGGTTGCATTGTTAGGCCAGGGTCCACACGTGGCCCACAAGGTCTAAAGTATTTATTCTGGTCCTTTATGAAAAAGTTTGTCAACCCCTTTTACCTAGACCAGGATTTCTCAACCTCAGCACTGTTGAATTTTGGCCCGGATAATTGTTGCAAAGGGCTGTCATGTGTATGGTAGGATGTTTAGCAGCACCCCTGCCTCTATCCACCCGTCCCCCTCCCCCATCCAGGTGTGACAACCAAAAATTTCTCCAGACATCACAAGTTGTCTGCTGGGGAACAAAATCACCCCTGGCTGAGAACCACTAATCTAAAGTGATGTGGCCTGACCAAACATTCATTTATAATACTGCCTAAGAGTGCTCACTCTAACAGGGAAAAAATACATTTAAAAGAGCAAAATAAATGAAAGAGTAGTTCTTATGCTGCTATACTTTAGCATTCCCTCCAGAAACAGAAATTTTTCTATAAAACATGATAGGGTAACTGAAGTAAGGAGCCTGGAGGCACGAAGATTCCACAGTTGACTGCTGAGGAGCAAATAGAATGGAAGTTACCGCATCTCTGAAGTGATGGGAACACGTAGTTTATTTTACAGGTTTGCAGGGCCTGTTTCCTTTATAAAACACTACGTGACTGCAGAGTTCTTGTTGACTTTGCTGTGTGTGTGAATGTTCTCTCTGTATACCCAGCACCTTGTGCTGCATCTGGCAAGAAGGGAGTTGATAAATGCGTATGAAAATGATTGTTAATAAATTCAGTAAATCTTAGGATTATCTGTGATTTTAAGTGGCCCATGTAGGTTCCTACCTTCATTAGCCAGAAGAATTAGAAAACTGATTATATTTACCTCCATTAAAGGTGATGAGAATTGAATTAAGCATCAAGGCGTATAAAATTGTGTTCTTCTTGAGATCTGGCGCTTGAATACTTTTCAGAGTGGGCATTTTCAAAGCTGTAGAAAAAGGCAATACTAAGAGATAACTACTCATAAGAATGTAGAGTGCTGTAAGGTTTGGGGGCATGCATTTTAATTCAACAATGTATGTACTATGTCTGAATTCTTAGTTTAGAACATGGAGTGAATTAGAATTGGGACAATTGCCTTTGAAAGCCAATATCAGGTATACCTTTATCTGACTCTTCAAAGTAAAATTAAGTTTTAAATTTTATTTTATTTTTTAAGTTTTAAATTTTAAAATTGGTATTGAAAAGAATATGTAATAGAGATCACATTTAACAGAGCACTTTTATGGAAAACTTCATGTGGTTGATCATTTCGGAAGATAAGCAGTTTTGACTACTGAATTCAAGTGAATTTTAGGTGAATTTGTTTTTTTCCATGCATGACGTATTTCTGTTTGTTTTTTCAGATCTTACCAATATATTTGAGTCCTTCCTGCCCCAGTTGTTGGCCTATCCCAACCCCATAGATCCTCTCAATGGTGATGCTGCGGCCATGTACCTCCACCGACCAGAAGAATACAAGCAGAAAATCAAAGGTAAGAAGGCAAATCGTTTAACCTAGAGACAGAATACGTGTATTGGGCTTTGATCGTTAAAAGCCCTTCTTAGTTAATAATTTTTCTCAGGCCTTTAAAGCAGACCGCTGTCTGTGGGCTGGAGCAGAACTCACTAGCCCCTATAGTTCCAAGGGGTCATTGACACCTTCGGAAGGCTGAAGGTCCCAGCAAGGAAGACGAGAAGGAGTGAGAAAGAGCAAAAGAGAAGATGAGAAAGTGGGGGGCACCTGTTAGGTGGTGGTGGATGTGACCCTCCCAGAAATCCCTGTGGACCCCTGTCCAAAAGAACCTTAGCCTTCACTTGCTTCCTCTTGTCTTGTAAAACTAGAAAACTGGGGCTGGAGAGTGATGTATTAAATGAAAGGCCTAATCTCCCATTTGTTTACAGACAGTATCATCCTGGCCCGTCAGGAAAGCTGTTAACTTTGGAAGTTGGGAAATGCCAAATTTATCCTTAAGCTTTTTCTATCATATCATTTTACCTCTTGAATTAAGAATACCCAACTGGCTTCTTTTCTTGGCCCCATACTGGTTTACTTTAGAAAGTTTACATCTGGGCACATTTCTTGTCTGCTGCAGATATCTGGCCCCAGGGCCCAGTTTTCTAGTAAAACTTGAAATGTGCTGTGCTAGGTAGAAATGTGCTTGTGGTAGGAGAGCTAGTTTTCTCATCCTTTACCATTTAGAATCCTCCTTTCTCACTCTGAAACCATTGACCTGCTAATGGGACATGAAGTTCATTAACATGAACTTGTGGTTTCAGAAGAACATCTGTAACTTTATACCGGTTTACTGGTGTTCATTTTTACCTCTCTGTGTGCTTGAGAACCTTCGTAGTGAAAAGTCTAGATAAAATTCCACCAGAAAGGAAAGGAATTCAAAGTCATTTTAGTATATGTGCTGCCGAAGCGAGCACGGAATTCAAAGTCATGAAAGTAGGCCTACTCTCCTTACCAAATGGCAAGCATCCATATTTACCTAATTGTTAGCATGACTTACCCGTCTATGTAGCAGTTCAGATTGTCAACTTCTGCGGTCCATCTGCAAGAGGTGAGAGCCTGGAATATATAGGTCTTCACTCTTAACTGTGCAAGTATGAGACAGGCGCATCTGAGGTTTTCCTTTGGTTTTCTCATTCTTCTCTGATCTCTGTAGGGTACTGTTTGGTACTTTTGTTGAGATAAAATAGAAATAAATCTCCAATTAATTTATTTAGGCCTCAGGTGTCTTTGCAAATTAATAATCTAATTTATGTAGCAGAATATCTGTATAGCCAAACATGTATTTCAAGGGGGAAAAAGAACAGTCCGTTTCAACCAGATAAAATTCTATTATGAGACTGTATTAAAATTGTGACACAGGAATCACTTAACAGTGTCTGCAGCCCACAGATAATCTCCGTGCGGAGCATATTTCTGTAGTTCTTACATTAATTATGCCTCAGCAATTTAGCACTATTCCTGTTTTAGTACATATCTGCTATAGTACCAGTTACAAAAGGAATCCAATCTACATTTTTATTTTAGAATGGCAAGCTCTAGCTTAGGGAATTGAGCTTTCTGAAATGTCAATGTTGGCTATCATTTTGTCTTCCTGAGTAATGTGAAAATCAGGGCTGTAAGAACTATCCTGATGGTTTAGATGCGCTCCCCTGGCCCCCAGCCTGGGGGCTTGTTCTCCCAATTCTCCCCTGCCTCCCAGCACTGGGTTCTCCTCTGCACCCAGCCTGTCAGAGGCTTCCCCCTTTCAGAAGCCTCTGTCTGCTCCTGAGGACCTCTTTGTCCTGCTCTTGATTTCCTGTCATTTTCAAACTTCTCACTTCCTTGCCCTAAACCCCTGCTAGTTTGTTTTCCCCCTTCTACTGATAATCTGTGACCCCATTTCTTCCTAATCATATGCACCCTGCTCAAGACCCATTTTCCTGACTTCTTTGTGGCTCTCGTATTTTGCCCCTTCCGTTCCTGAAAACCTTTCTCATTCCATTCCCAAACGTGGTCATTCTCTCAAGAGTCTGTCATTCAGCCCTCCCTTACCCTCCCTCCCCACTTGGGGAGCTGATTCGCCCCTCACTGCTTTAGATAATTCCCTGCAGGTAGGTGATTTCCAAAAACGTGTCTAGATGTGGGAACTCCCTCCCAAGCTGCTACCAGACATTTCTGTAGCTAGCCTCACAGGTCAGCGTATGTAACCTTTCTTACCATGGATTTTCGTCAGCACTCCCATTTTTTTGATGTTTTTTATCATGTAGATAGGAGCTGCCTGTGGGATGGGCACCAGTGAGCTGTCTAAAGATATTGTTGGGGCGGCATCGTACCTGCCGTTCACGGCTTTCTCTCACTTTGTGTGAGCTCCATCTTTGCCTTTACTCCTAGATGGAGCAATATGTGGACCATCACATTGGATGAATTTCAGATACCCAACTATATTCCCTTCCTTAGGGAAAGTTTCAGCCTAGAGATTAACTTAACCATATACTCACCATCAAACTACAGCAAGACCTATACATTTTCCTTTATTTGCTTCAGATACAAATGTAGTTCTGACATACTGGCCACGTCCTTCTCACTTGTGCTTTTTTTTTTTTTTTTTTTTTTAAGATTTTTTTTTATTTATTTGAGAGAGAGCACAAGCAGGGGGAGCAGCAGGCAGGGGTAGAGGGAGAAGCAGGCTCCCCACTGAGCAGGGAGCCCGATGTGGGGCTCGATCCCAGGACCCTGGGATCATGACCTGAGCCGAAGGCAGACGCTTAACCGACTGAGCCCCCCAGGCGCCCCCTGCCATGTGCTTTTGGCGAGGCTGTGCCTTTCGCATGGAATGGCGTGTCCTGTGCTGCGGCTGAGACTTCCTTCAAGGGTCAGCGCAGATGTGCCTGCCTTCCCGGTCTCAGAGGCCAGAGGCCCTTCCTCCATGCTTCCCTCCGATGGCACTGGACAGCTAACTGCTTTTATCTGCATCTGTCTCCTGCTCATGAATGACCTTGTTCTTCATTTTCCTGTCTCCTGAAAGGTCTTGTCCTAGTAAGCTAAGCAGTTAAAACTATTTATTTCCTCGAATATACTAAGGAGGACTAACAGTATCACCTTACAGTGTCAGAGAGAAGTGTCAAAGTGCAGCAACTTTTTTCTACAAATGCAGCAAAGTAGCTGACCCATTAGAGGGTAAAAATAGCATTTCTGGGACTGTAATAAACATTTCTCTCCAAAAGGTAAATTCAGGTAAGTTCTTACCTAATCAGGAGCTTTTAGAATCTCATCTCTGCCTAAAACTTCATTATAATGAATTTGTAGGATTCTGAATCAGAAGTCTGTAAACTTTTTCTGTAAAGGGCCAGATTCGGCCACATGTAGTCTCCGTCACATATTCTTTCTCTTTGTTCCTTTTTTTTTTTTTCTTTTAAAACAACCCTTTGTGGGAGTGCCTGGGTGGCTCAGTCGTTAAGCGTCTGCCTTCAGCTCAGGTCATGATCCCGGGGTCCTGGGATCGAGCCCCGCATCGGGCTCCCTGCTTGGTGGGAAGCCTGCTTCTCCCTCTCCCACTCCCCCTGCTTGTGTTCCCTCTCTCGCTGTCTCTCTCTCTCTCTCTGTCAAATAAATAAAATCTTAAAGAAAAGAAAAAAGAAAAACTGGGCCTAAGAATGCCCCAAAAGACTTGGGAAAAAAAAAAAAAAAC